GAAAATTAATGGTAACTAATATTACTATTTTCTAAACCTGGTATTATAAAAACATTATTTTTGAAATTCCCCCTAAGTATAATATCTATGAAATTTATATTCATTCCTGGACTTATGAAATTTAGAGGTATAATATCTAGGTAAAAATATTTCATATATTAGCAATATTTTTTTGGCAATTCTAGCTATCTATCTATGAACAAATAATCTAGGTTTTCTTTGTTTGGATTTCCATGTAGATTTTTCCTTTGTAAATTAAAACACTTTTGTCTATTCTAGCATGGAAATGAATTTACTATAGAAATCTTTATGAACTTATTAGATGTTTTGGCAAAAAATATTATAGATATACTTTTTTTTATGACATTGTATTCAGGATGGATTTGGGGTCCATTGTACAATGATCGTTGATCTCATATCTCAGACTTGGGATCCCACCGAAAAATATTATTGAGAAGACATAGGGTAAGAATATCGTCCAATGGGGAGGAATGATATATACACCTTCAGTGAGGGCACTTGTGGGAGGTCTTAATGCATGTATCCAAATTCTTATTTTACATGCCCAATAATCACAGTCAACAGTCTTGGGAAAGACGAGAAAAGGTTTCTTTCCCTCCTGAAGAATGTATGTCGCCCTGTGACGAATGCAAAACAAATTTCATGGGGGAGGGGGGGATTAAGCTTATTTTTAGAAAATTATTAAGGGCATTCAACCAATAAATATCAATTTTTTAAAAAGAAAATTAAGAAAAAAATAAATAAACCATGGTGGACAAGTGTCTGTGGTACTCATGCTATATATTTGCCCTTGATGACGCCCAAGTCTGACATCCACTTGAGAGTATGTTTAAACGAGTGGTAAATCTGGTCTCCTGTTCGAGGATCGTGAACATCGTCATCTTTATATAAAAAAAGGTATAATAAGAAGATAAGAGAGGTTAATTCGTAATAGTTGCAAATACGGATCAATCACAACAATTTGGCTCACTATATATGGATAAATTTGCTTTTCACTTATCCTTTTATAGATCAAGTGATTCAAATCTTGTGGTGAGTTCCAACACCAACATCCACTTAAGCTTCAATTTGCTTCTCTTTTGCTTATTACAGAATTTAAATATTCACTAGAGATGTAAATTTGAAAGACTAATTATCACTCTATAATTTTGTCATTTGGTGGGGGATAAATACAATTTTTTGGATGTGGTATATTTAACAATCTTTTATGAAGATATGATTTTAATACGACTATTGATAATATGTGAAAAACAAAAACTAACTAGATATTGATCCTCTAAACGCGAAATTATAATGGCATAAACATTCATAAAAAATAAAAAATACATTACTAAATTATAAAAAAATAAAAACATATTTATAAATATATTTTCCACGTATTTCGCGGGAAATCACCTAGTGAATTGTAAAAATAAAGTTTGCATATAGTTTACACACACTCACCTTCACTTTTCTCAAACATACATAAACAATCATAATGGAACAAAACTGAAAACAAACCAAGACCAAAGATATTCACCTTCAGTCGATTTTCATTAATCAACAAGCCGAAAACCACAAACCTCAAGTTTTCTAGAAGCATTTCCTGTGAACAATGGCTGGCCCTGATTCCTCATATTCTGCCTTTGAAATCCACATCTGCATTTCAGAACAAGATAACCCAAACATCAGTGTACATAATTAGGTGAATCACTGAAACATGGGTACGGTAAAAGAGTTTACAGTACCTGTTGGAATGTGCTAAGGGAAGACAAGATAGAACCCCCAATCCATACACTGTACTTTCTCTCAGGTGGTGCAACCACCTTAATCTTCATGCTGCTTGGTGCCAATGCCGTGATCTCTTTACTCATCCGATCAGCGATTCCTGGAAACATGGTCGATCCACCACTGAGCACAATGTTACCATACAAGTCCTTTCTGATGTCAACATCACATTTCATGATAGAATTATAAGTGGTCTCATGAATCCCCGGTGCTTCCATTCCGACAAACGATGGTTGAAAGAGAACTTCCGGGCAGCGGAATCGTTCTGCACAAATCGTGATCACCTGACCATCAGGGAGCTCATAGCTCTTTTCGATTTCAGAGCTTGTTTTCGCTGTTTCAAGCTCCTGCTCATAATCCAACGCTACATAGGCAAGCTTCTCCTTGATATCTCTCACGATTTCTCTCTCAGCACTTGTGGTAAATGTGTACCCTCTCTCTGTCAAGATCTTCATCAAAGCATCGGTAAGATCTCTTCCAGCTAAGTCAAGCCTGAGAATGGCATGAGGGAGTGCATAACCTTCGTATATAGGAACCGTGTGACTGACTCCATCACCTG